TAGGTTTTAGGGTTTAGGGTTTTAGGGTTTTAGGGTTCAGGTTTAGGGTTTTAGGTTTTAGGGTTTAGGGTTTAGGTTTTAGGTTTTAGGGTTTAGGAACCCTAAACCCTAAACCCTAAACCCTTTTAGGGTTTGGGGTTCAGGGCCAAGAGAACTGAACTCTGTAGAGCCCTCGAGCAGAAGCGAGAGGTTCAGCTGACGGGGGTCATCTCATCCTGTTGAACTACGAGCCTCGTAAGCTTTAGGGTTTAGGGTTTAGGGTTTAGGGTTTAGGGTTTAGGGTTTAGGGTTTAGGGTTTAGGGCAGGGTTTAGGGTTTAGGGCCTCTAGAACCGAGATATAGCTGCAGCAGGGCAAACTCCAACAAACACCCGTACAAACTTCGACGCTGCAACAACTCCAAATCCCCCTCCATGCGCAAATCAGGACCTGCTCGTGAAGTCAAGCTGCCCACAAAGTCTCCAAAATCAGCTGCCATTGCGGAGCAGATTGGTCAGCACACGCAAATTCTAGACAAGGGCGCTGGCAGAGGAGACCGCTTGAGCCTAGAAACGAAAATGTTTAGGCAGCTAGGACTGTCGGGTCTGAGGGCCAGGGTCCCCCTAAACCCAGAGAACCCAATACCCCTTAATTAAGGAATATACCTTAAATCATAATCATAATTAAAGAATAAACCCTACATAAACCCTAAACTCTAGACTCTAAGCCACATCGACCTCCCGTGGGGTTTGGATCTTTGAGAACCAGGCCTTTCTACGAAGGTAGAGGTTCTTGGGCTTCGGGATCAGGAATCCAGCTAGGGCTTATCAAGCTTCTGGAATTCGGTTTTGAGTTTCTGCGGATTTGGGATTTTCGAGCTTGATGAAAGGTTTGAAAGTTGAAGAAGTGTAGTTTCTGTCAGGTCTTTTCCTTGGGTTCGAGGTCGATGAACCCTAAACCTAAACCCAAAACCCTCAACCCTCAACCCAAACCCCTAAACTCCTTTTCAATGCCGGTAACGTGCAGAGGCCCCCGAGACATCTGGGGGCGTTCTAAAGCTAATTGGCTCTGATAGCTGGTCCGAAGGCTGTGGGGTACTCCAGGGGCCTTAATGATTAGAATAGGGGCTTATAGGGTTCCTTTAAAGGGATCCTTGAAGGGTTCTATAAGGGCTACTATCAGGGTTTAGGGTATAGGGGGCCTAAATGTAGGGTTCCTGCAAAAGGACTTGATAATTAGAATAGAGTTTTGGGGCCCATAACATTGTAATTATACTTATAATAATGGAACCCCCGAAATATTCCTGGCAACTAGCATAAGGCCCCTATACTACAGCCTGCATGGCAACAAGTCGCGCTTCTGCCCCTAGCCTCCAGCTGTACGTGCGAGACCGAGGTCAGGTTCTGTACATGCGCAGAGCTCGAAGGTCCACATGGAGAACTTTGCGAGCTCATTCAGGGATTGGGGGCCAGCAGAGCGTCTACAAGAAGTTGAGCACAAAAAAGGCTGGCCTTTTCGCCAGGAAAGCACTCGCGGCACCTGAGCTTATGTGAGGCATTTCGTGCCCGACGACTCCCACGACATCTGTCTGCGCAATTGATGACGACAAGAGACTCTTTTGAAAACAGCGTCCCGGAGAGCCCCAATACCCCTTAATTAAGGAATATACCTTAAATCATAAGATTAAGGTCCCTATAACTTAAGGTATATTCCTTAATTAAGGGGTATTTTGTTCTCTGGGTCTGGTTGCTTGTGGACACCCGAACATGCGCCCTCCTCCGGCACCCCCGCCCCGAAACCCTTGGAACCCTCCGCCCCGAAATGTTCGGAACAAGGCCTTCGGCAGAACTGCTGTGCTAAAGGGAGACTATATGGAGACTATCATGAACTAGCGAAATTTTATACGAGAAACCTATGTATCTGTGTGCACATGTGTATATGTCTATATGCAATTAGGTAGACATGGAGAGAGGTTCAATCAAAAGAGAAAGAGAGACAGAGATGTTCAGCGAAAAACCCTGAGCTTCTCCCCGGCTGGTCCCTAAACCCTAAACCCCGACCACTGAGGCGGGCACGGTGGCGCATGCTCGGAATTAGCATCCCCCGGCAGGCGCCTTAATCTTCCTCGTCGGCCGCGGGAAGTTTTGGCGCACGCCGTCTTGGAAGATGATGGGCTTGTAGGCGTCCTGGGTTTAGGGTTTAGGGT